GGGGGGGGGGGGGGGGGGGGGGGTGACGATTGAGATTTACTTCCAGTGTCTATAATCATCTGCATAGCTTTGCCTTCGAGCTTTCCTTCCACACAAAGTCCATCTTTTCTTTGTACAAGTCTCTGTCCATTCGACTGATTCGATCCGTGGGGTGTCTTCTCTTACCGTCGGGCCTCACCCCTTTGAGGCTTAGCTTTGACCCGACTCTTGCTCGTTTTCCGACTCAGTACGCGTCTTCTCGGCGTTGTACAACCGACAATAGAAAGTTTGATTAAGACAACGAAGTACGAAGACGAAGGCGTACTTGAAAATTTTTTGCCGCCTGCACATTATCTTGCGCATACTGAGTTGGACGTCACTGGTGGTTGCTCAACGTGTCTTCCCATGTGTCGCTGTTTGTTAATACTGACCATATTTCTTGCCCTGATCCAGAAAAAACAGCGAGACATGAAACTATATCCCGTCTTTGTCCTTCTGCCTTCGTGCAGAACGAAGTTCACAACGGATTTTGCCAAAATATTCGTTGTGAACGAAGGCAGAAGAACGAAGACGGGATATGGATTCATGTCTCGCTGTTTTATCCTGATCAGGGTAAGGATTTGCGGGGACAGCATTCACAAACAGCTAGACATGAATCTCTAACCTGTCTTCACTCCTGATCCTAAACTTAGAATGCGCAAGATAATGTGCAAGACAGGCAAAAATTGTCAACACGTCATCGTCGTCAGACTTCGTTCTCTTGCTCAAACTCTCTAATCCCGTTGGAGACGATCTTCCGAACCCGCATGTCCAACACTACTTTCGTTTTCTTCTTCGATTCACGCAACTACTTCACGAAGATCCATGCATAGATGTCTACATGCATGTATTTCTTATTCAAATATTTTATTATTCAAGTATCACAATGTTAGGGTATACAACAAAGTAATAGCCGGACGCATCCTAATTTCCAATGCATACATGCATGTAGCCCTGACCTATAGTTGTAGTGCACCTAGTTTTGTAATTGTCAAACAGAAACCGTTTTTCCTTATTTTTCCTTACATTTTATGTTGCGGTTTGCAAGTATGCGCATGTGTGACCTAAATACCGCGTCGTGATTTGTTTGTAGCCTTATTCATTATTCATGATTTTACAAAGTTGACATGGAAATTCAAGCTGGCTGATAATTTATATGCTCAATTCTGAATACTTTGGTTGTACTATTGGACATATTGTTGTTCCCTTCCTATAAAATTTATTGTGTTCTGTATTTTAATATTTCTGTATAGGACTCCAGATGGTGCACCGGAAAAAAAGCTTTATAAAGAAAAGTTTGAAAAAGTGGCAGCAAAATTCAAACGTGCTCAACCGATCGAAGCAGATGAAGTGAACGACCTCAAGGACATTTTGAAAAACTATGAGTAGACAAAAACTAGCCTCTTTCACAATGTACTTAGGCATTGTTCATGACAGAGTTTATTTTAACGTGCAGTTCTACGCGAAACGTGCAGTTCTAAACCCATTTGTGCAGTTCTTAAAACACAAATGTACGTGCAGTCACGAAACAAACAAAAGCAACACACCCTTGCGGATGCTCCAGAAAATTCCAGGAATGCTGTCATTGCATGAGCATCGAAAATATAAACGTTTTCTGGGAGAGGGCCCCCAAGACCCTCCTATTTTCCTCACAAATCACTCACGTGCTGGGGTAATGGAAAAGAAGGTAAAATTATGGGGCGAGCGAAGATCTCCAATAGAAATTAGAATGGGAGAACCTAATATTCTTTCCTGCCTGAAATGCAAATTAAAGGTTATTATATATTGAATATCCCTGATTCCCAGTTACATGTTTTGAAACTGTTTTTGTGAGTGGTTGAGTAAAACAAATCTTTGCCAGAACTTATAAGAGCCTCTAGGTTCAAATTATTTTGGGGAACACTCCCCTCCCCCACTCCCGCACCCAATTACACCATTATTCTGTCACTTATATGCAGGTAAAAAATCCTTTGACACCCCCCCCCCAGTCAAACATCCGTTGGTTTTGCAACATCCCTATATGTGCAATTCTAAATTTTTCTTGAAATAAACCCTGGTTCATGATATGAAAATTAGAGATTTCTCAATTACATCTTGTGTGGCTCGCATACGGGTGTATTCTTGAAATTTAAGCTTTGAATTTTGTACGAAATAATGGAACTTGTATTTTTTTTTAAAAAGTAAAAACATACATATACTCAGTTAATAAAAATAAATCATTTTTGTCGAAATTATGGTTCTTACATTTTTACAATCTTTTTTGATGTTCTTTGTTGCTAATCACATTTTATTTCCTGGCCACATTTGAGAGATCAAAGAAGCTTGGCAGGTCAGGAGTGATGGGTCATTTCCAGAGGGTCATTTCAGAATTCTTAGCACTTGCAGACGACTACAAAAACAATTATATAATAACTACGGTGAAACACGCAATTTGATTGGTCAATAGCCGTGCAGGGATTTTCGCGGGATTCTCAAAATGTTATTGTTTCACTGTAGTTATTTTATAAAACAATTACCAAATGGTTTTCCAAGCAGGATAGCGTGATCCATGCACTTGGGATGTTGCTCGACTTTCGGGAAGCGTAAAAGTACACTCGCCTGCGGCTCGAGTATTTTTACGCTTTCCGAAAGTCTCGCGACATCCCTCGTGCATGGATCACGCAATCCTGCACGGAAAACCATTTGGTATTCCTTTATTTCGGGATTGCATTGCAAGGGATGTTTCTTTGTGGTGTGAATTGTGAAATTGTGGCGTGAATCGTGGAATTGTGGCGTGAATCGTGAAATTGTGGCGTGCATCGCGCTTTTGTTGGCGTGTTTCGTGATATTGTGGGGTGATTTCACTTTTTGTGCGTGAATGACCCTTATCGGCCACCCGGGTTAGCCTTAACATTTTGTCGAATTTCAGCCTTGTTTTGAAAATGTGAAAAAGTGATAAAATGATCAAAAGGTAAAGGCCTTAAATGTTTGGCCATATTTTCGCCACTTTTCGAAGGTTTTAATATCACCTGCTATTTGCATAAAATATGATTGCCAAATCAGAGCACAGGGATCAGAGTGCATTAACATCTGATCATTAAGAATGTGTTAATAGAACTCGTGACTTCCAAAATTCGAGCAGGTTTAGGCCCGTTTAGCCCTAGAGCGCAGGGTTGGTTGATTCTACCATATCGGCCTTTTCGAGGCCAAACAACTCGATTTTGCCTTCTTTTTTTCTTCTTGCTTAGCCTCGAAAAACAGTTTGGCCTTTTTTGGCTTCTTTCGGCCGGCTTCACAGAGGGTGGAAAAGGGTATTTTCGTGAGCCGCGAATGGTCAATATTTGTTCGCACGAAATGTGAAATGCTTGATTTTCAGTAGTGTCGTGAAATGTGATTTGCTCTGAAGTCGTGAGGCCGTGATAAAAATGCTCCGTGAAATGAGAATTATAAGCTAGGATGCCTGTTTCGTGAACTGTGATTATTATAGGGATTATTATAATAAACATGATACGCGATAATCAAATTAATGGAGGACAAGGTTCCTGACGCTGAGGACAAGGTTCCTGGCGCTGAGAACAAGGTTCCTGGCGCTGAGGACAAGGTTCCTGGCGCTGAGAACAAGGTTCCTCACGCTGAGGACAAGGTTCCTCACGTTGAGGACAATAGAAAGATTTAGAAAAGACGACGCGACCTCAAAGACGACGTGAAAATGGCGTCAAAATGGCGTGGCACATCCATATATGGACAGAACACGCCATTTTCACGTCGTCTTTGAGGTCGCGTCGTCTTTTCTAAATCTGTCTAATGTTCCTGACGCCGAGGACTCGCGGAGGTCGTCGTACATTCTCGTCACTCAAACTTGTAAGTTATGATGTAGTTTTTAACTGACATGTTAAGAAATGAGAGAAGCGTAGATACTGTACCATGCATGAAACATAGTCTTAATTAAACTGCATTTTTTCAGTCAGCCGGAAATTGATGTCATGACCTTCATTATCATATTCATATTTCCGAGTGTCCCTATATGTCGTGTGTCGTGGGTTAAAAGTCGTGTGTCGTGGGTAAAGTCGTGGGTAAAGTCGTGGGTAAAGTCGTGGGTAAAGTCGTGGGTAAAGTCGTGGGTAAAGTCGTGGGTCATAAAATGTGCTAAAAACGCATTTTTTCACGAAGATATTATTTTTATTTTTAATATTTTTTTCGTACTTTTTCCATTTATGCACTAGATAAATACAGGAAAATTTAACGCAAAAAGCTCCAGTAATAAAATAATTTCTTATCTTGCTGTTATCTATAGTATAACCTGCTATAACAAGTAAATGTTTGATTATGTTTCCGTTTCGTATAGTCTGATAAGCCTATAGAGTATAAATGTATTGTTTGATGTATAAATGTATTGTTTAAGTTATAGGATATAGGTTTATTAGCTTTGGAAGTGTTATAGTCCCTATCAATTCATGAACGTCGCGAATAATTATGTCGATTCATGCCGATATGTCTGATACAAACATATGAGGCTATACTGAATTTTACGCTGCAGTGTCTAGTATAATTAGTGGCCAACGCTCGAGCCTCAAATTTTGCTATTTTATCTCCTAGACCTAGTATATGTTCGTGGCCCTTGACCGAAACATTTCATGTGTATGTGGCGTTCGGAAATATTCCATAAATTGCCACGATTTGGGATTTCCCGATTGAAACCCGAAATGATTTGTGCGATGTCGGGCTAATTGCCAACCGAGCGCGCTAGCCGCTGTTATTTTGACAGAATATGATACCTTTACACTTTTCAGCCGTAATTTTCAGCGCGCACTGTAATCATATACATATCGTTTAATTTAGCTTCAAAAACATGTTATTCGTGTTCGTTCCCGCGGAGCGCAATGGTGTCATAGTCAGTTGCCAAAGGCAGAGCACATGCAAAGCCGCCTTGGTATAAATCATGTATGTAACGGGAAATCTTGCTTATTTCAGTCGAATAAAGTCAACCTTTTTTTTTGATAATGTACGCAACATGCTGCGCATTTTACATTTAACAAAACAAGTTTTTGAAGCTAAATTAAACGATATGAATAATTCATCAATATGTGATTACAATCCGCGCATTTGTATTACGGCTGAAAAGTGTAGAGGTATCATATTCTGTCAAAATAACAGCGGCTCTGAGCGCGCACTTTTAAGGGCCACGAACATATACTAGCTGTTCTAGGAGATAAAATAGCAAAATTTGAGGCTCGAGCGTTGGCCACTTATACAGCGTAGAATTTATAGCTCAATATGTTTGTATAAGACAGTATGCAATCGACGTAGTTATTCGCGACGTTCGTGATAGGGACTACTGAACACTTGCAAAGCTAATAAACTTATATCTTAATATCCTATAACTTAGGACATTTTATCATCAAACAATACATTTATAGACTTATTAGACTATACGAAATGGAAACGCTTACTTGTTATACTATAGATAACAGCAAGATAAGAAATTATTTTATTACTGGAGATTTGTTGCGTTAAATTTTCCTGTATTTATCTAGCGCATAAAAGGAAAAAGTACGAAAAAATATTAAAATTAAAAATATGAAAAAATGCGTTTTTAGCACATTTTATGACCCACGACTTTACCCACGACTTTACCCACGACTTTACCCACGACACACGACTTTTAACCCACGACACACGACACACGACATATAGGGACACTTCATATTTCCAAGTATTGTGAATCAGTGAATAATCAAGGTGTTGTTATTGCAAAATCAAACCAAAGCGAAGGCGGAAGTGTTTGAGAACCTCGTCTGTTTCTTGTTCTCGATTTATTTGCTTTACAATGTGAGATAAATGTGGCAAAGAAAGATCATTGATATCGAATCTTTAACTAGAAAGTGACGCAATGTTTCTATGAGCTATGAAGCATGGCTTGCTGCCCGACCGAAGAGAAATATGGCTACGAAGACTGTCGATTTGAAAAAGATGTCGACGAAAATTTCCATTGTTCTATCTGCTACAATGTTCTTAAAGAACCAAGGACGTGTAGGAATAATGATCACATCTTTTGTCTTGCCTGCATCACTCAACATCTAAAGGTGAACTCTCAAACTTGTCCTGAATGTAATGAGCATTTGAGCGTCGATACGCTTCGTCGGCCACGTGTGGTGAATAACATGTTGTCTAAACTAAAGATAAATTGTGATCATGCCAGTCGGGGATGTCCTGAGTTTACCTGTCTTGAAGATCTCAAAACTCACGTGGCGAATTGTGGCTATGCACCTGTGTTGTGTTCAAATGCAGAGTGTGGTATGGAGATTAACAAGCAAGATAAGGTCCATCATGAGACTAAAGTTTGTGATTATAGAAAAGTGAAATGTCATGACTGTGGGCAGATACAGGAAGATGTCGGAACATTGAAAGGAAGTTTAATGGAACTGGATGGGAAAGTGGAACAAGCAGTGAATGGAATAAAGAAGTTGGACGAAAAAGTGGAAGCAGTGAAAGAAATGAATCAGGAAATGAACGAAAAAGTGGAAGCAGCAGTGAAGGAAATAAACGAGAAAGTGGAAGCAGTAAGTGGACAGACGAAGAAGGAAAACGGGGAAGTTAAGAAAGAAGTCAAAGATATGAAGGACAATCTTTCCAAAGTGAACAAAGACGTGGACGAAGTCAAAGTCATGATGATTCAAATGTTAGAGAAGTTAAATATGCTTGAACTGCTGAACAAACTGCCATCTCCGACTGAGGGAATGTTGAACACATCAAGAGAGGATATTTTGATTGCAGGTGGATATGGAGGGCGTTCAATTACACCTTGCAAAAGTACGGAAATATATTCCTGGGAGAAAAATGGTTGGTTTGAGGTGTCGCCAATGAATGACGACCATAGAGATGCTTCGTCATTTATCTATAAAGATCAGTTGTTTGTTGTCGGTGGAACAGATAGTAAGGCAATAGAGACCTTGAATCTTGATGAATTACCTTTGAAATGGACGAAATTTCGTGGGGAACTGCCTTCTAAATGTGAGTCTCATCAAACTGTTGTTTTCCAGCAGAGTGTCATTCACATTGGTGGATTTCAATATGACAAAGGATGGTCTAACGTGATTAGTGAATTGCAACTTACTTCACCTTGCATTATGAAAGAGTTGTGTCAAATGCCTGAACCACGACAATTTCATGGCGCTGAGGTATTTGAAGATAAAGTGCTGATTTTAGGGGGATTTTACCCTTTTCAGACTACTAACAGTGTATTGGAGTTTGATCCAAAAAGGAATGAATGTAAAGAGATGCCAAAATTACCGTCTGCCTTGTGTAGAATGGCGACAGTTCGCTGGAGGGATGAAGTAGTTGTGCTTGGAGGTCGTGATAAGGATGGTCAAGTTCTGAATGATGTTTTCATGTACGACTCCAAGACAGGCAAGACCACAGCCTTACCATCCATGTTGGAGAAGAGATATGACTGTTGTGCAGCTATTACTGGAAATACCATTGTAGTGATGGGAGGTCTGAATGAGAAAGATGAATATATCAGTTCAGTGGAGTGTTTTACAATGGGAGGTTCTACATGGGAGTATCTTCCTGCCATGAACGAACCAAGATTCAAAGCAGTTGCTGATGTTTTACCTTCCACACGAAAATATGTGTAAATTGGACATTGAGACAATCATAAGACGTCAATTCATAATTAGGTTACGTTTTCAGGCACGATTACATGGTTCAACTTTGCTGGGTTGAGATATTGGATGATTTTGATGTATTGAAATATTCCACGGTTTATGATTCGGAGAAATTACATCAATTTCCCAACATAGTTTGCTATGTAATTGATGCTGAACAATTAGCAATTTACAGTCATAATAATTTCGTTAAACTACAGGTTTGATCAATTGCATTCCATCTCCTAATATTGTCCGTTTGACTTCAACTTTATATCGTTGTGACTTGAGGCGCTGTTACACTATACTTACCTCGGAACTTGTCTCGCAATGTTGAGAAAAAAGATTTCGGGATTGCATTGCAAGGGACGTTACACCAAGCAATATATTCCATGCAACTTGCAATGATCATTATTAAAAATAGTATAAAAACCGCGAGTGCTAACGTTTGGCGCCATATTGTCAGTCAAAAACCAATAGGAAAGCATTAGTGTATAAAAATTGCGAGACTAGTTGCCAGAGGGATGTTACACTGCGCAATGCTTTAAAAATGCGTTGCCGCAAACCGCGTTGCAAAAAGTAGAACCTGATTCTACTTCGCGCAGTGGTTGCACGTTGCGACAAAAATATTGCGAAAATTTTGTTGCGACACAAGTTGCACGCGAAGTTGCAAGGTGTATCAGGCCTTGCAAATTCGCGTGCAACTTGCGAGACAAATTGCATATTAGGGCCATTTATATACGGGACAAAATAAATCGCGACTTACATAAGACGCGTCTTATATAAGCGGATTTATCGCATAAATGGTTCTCTACTGCTTTTTTCTTATTTACCTGCTATAGCTATAATGTTGTTTCGATTGTTTTTGTTTCAATATGCAAGGCTAATAAGTTTACGTTGTTTCAAGTTTCGGGCATGTGTAGTTAGAATTTTTGTCCAAAATTTCTTATTTAAGACGCGACTTAAATAAGAACAGCTAAAGGCCATGTTACACGGTGCAATTTTTCTTGCAACTTGCAATGCAATTCTACTCTTGAGAGATGTAAAATTACCAAATACGAGTCTTCATTACATTCCGCTGATGTTTTCTCAACATATCGAAAATTCTTCACTGATTTCACTAATTAACATCTCTCAAGAGTAGAATTGCATTGCAAGTTGTAAGAAAAATTGCACCGTGTAACATGGCCTTAAAAGTCCTGTTCTTATGTAAGACGCGTCTTATCCAAGACGCGTCTTATCCAAGACGCGTCTTATCCAAGACGCGTCTTTCACTGGTCTTACATAAGAATTTTGTACCTTTTATACGACAAACTCGCGTCTTATTTAAGTCGCGTCTTATTATTATTATTATTATTATTATTATTATTAAAACTTATTTACAAACAATAACCCTTCAGCCTACGCTGCTTTTAAAGGGGTTGTTTACATAAAAGAAAGTACAAAATAAATATTTACAAAATAGTATAATAATTTACAAAATAGTGTAATTGACTAGGAGTCTTTACAATTGGATATTTTATCAACGTAGGTGATTGTTGAGCTTAGTTTTGAAAGAATGTATCGTCAACTGTTCGTGAACGTCTAAGATTTCGTTAGGTAATGAGTTCCAGGCGGAAGCTCCTCGATATGAAAATGACTTTTTCATAAATGATCTATTAGGTTTATCGAAGTCGCGTCTGATGTAAGTCGTGTCTTATTTTGTCCCGTATAAATGGCCCTATTGTAACCATGATTGTAACAGCGCCTAAACAATGATGGGGGGTGGGGCGAAATATATTTTACAACTCTATAGATAAGTATTTCGCGGCCTCGCGTGTGTATATTTCATTGTATTATGGTTAAGACCATGCATACAAAAAAATAGGTACGCGACGCGTACATGTATCTGCGAAAAAAATTGAATCTCATTTTGTATTTTTGTTGAAAGGAACTGAATAATGAAGATGACATGGGACAATTTAAATATTTCAGCACTTGTTATAATAAATATAATAGCAAATAAGATTTTAAAGTCAAACATAATACACATCTAGCAATACTGTAATACATCAAACAATATTCGAAGTGTCTATACAGCTGGCTATTCAATAAACTGCCACTTGTGAATTCAATCCATACTCATAGAATTTTCAAAACTTTATTGCAATCATATGAAGCAAAAGTTCTGTCACTTTGTTGTTTAGACTTGTCATTGTGAACTGTTGAGTAACATACACAAACTATTCGAAAAACATGCATTACTGTAGCAAAGAGTCAATCAAAGATCACTGAATAATAGAGAATGTTTTGAAGGTCATGAGTGAAGTATATAATTCAATTCCAGTCCTGTGCACAGTTAATGATATACCACACTGTTCAGTTTAACACAACATATCCACGCAAAAACAATTTGTGTTGTGGGAGAAAATCGGTTTGAGTAGAAGGTATCACAAGTTTAGTTTTGTACATTGTGTGCCATTGATTAGATCCATCCATATAATATATGATTATTCATTGTAGCTGTTAAGTTATTTTCCATACTAATACATTTAGGCAAGATTGTCTTGCAAGTGCATAGATTGTTCGGACAAAATTATCCAGCCAATCTCCAGTACATTTATTCATCATTCTTGTATTATAAATCTCTAAACAAAAACATTTATGTTAGAAAGCAAAATGACAATGTAATGAGGCTCAGGAGGGTGGGGATTCTTTTATATTGGGTCATTCCAGAAAACATCCATACCACCCCCACGGAGGAAATCGGAAGTTAACCCCCCTACCCCCTTTGAATTCAAGTGGGATTCGGGATTTTGGCGGGAAGCGGGATTTTCCGTCGCAGGGGGTGGTATTAATACTAAAATACCATGCTGGAGATATGCGGGAAGTAACCCACGATTAGCGGGATAAATCAACAAAACTTGTAGCCGTAGTGGCGTACGTTGTAGTGATCTGTTGTCATTTGTTTGTGTGCTCGAAATTTTACTGTTTTCAAGAATGATATCGAACATTTGTCCCCCATTAACCCCTATTCAGAGGCGCAACTAGAGCGTTTTATTGGGGGGGGGGTGTATATTCATATATTCGTGTTCTGCCCCACGAATTTCTTTTGAATTTAAGTTCATTTCAAAAGAAATTAGTCGGGCAGAACACGAGTATATGAATATACACCCCCCCCCCCCCAATTAACGCTTTAGTACGCCACTGTCTCCATTTACATGTGTGACTGCTGTTTTCGTAAGAGTCGCGATTTAGGGGCTGTTTATATGAGGCGAGCCAGCTCGGGTAGCCACTGGAAGGCTAACTCAGGGGGGGGATTGAAGCCAGTGCATTTTAGTTTTTCTGAGTTATGAGCAGAAATACTCAACACTGAACGTTGGACTATATATCAAATTGAAGCTATTGAAAAACGCTATTTGGTGTAGAAATTTCAAGACTTTAGCTAAAAGGGAAATATTGAAAAACTACAAACATAATTACCGATAATTTGCCGTTTTGCAGTTGTTTTTGTATTTCTTAAATATTTTTCTTTTCGCTGAAGTCTTGAAATTTCCACACCGAATAGCAATTTTCAATAGCTTCAATTTGATATATAGCCCGACGTTTGGGGTCAAGTATTTCTGTTCATAACTCAGAAAAACTATTTTGGCTTCATCAAATCATAGGCCTTCATCATAGCAGTTAGCCTTCCAGTTTATTTATAGTTCAATGCGGGTAGCCGAGCTAGCTCGCTTTAAGCCCGTTCTCCACTAGGCGAATTTTTTCGCGCGACGCGAAGCGAAAAACAAATTTTGGCAATGTGATTGGTCAGCGAAAAAATTCGCCGCGAAAAAGTTGGATCAGTTCCTACTTTTTTACTGTTCGCGCGAACAAATTCGCCTAGTGGAAAACGGGCTTTAGGCGGGATCCCGTCTTTGTTAATATTTCCTACTAAATTTCATGTTGCGTTTATATGAGAACCGAGCTGGCCCGCCTAACCGAGGTCCCGCTTTGTGTGACCCGAGACCTCGGGTAAACGGGCTGAGTAGTTTTCCATATAAACGCAACAGGGAGGGCTAGCCCTCCTAGTAGGGCTGGAAATTTAGCAAATACGCATGCGCAAATAATTAGAATAATTCAGAATGCAAAAAACAACTCTCATATAAAGGAACCAACTTCCATATATGGAGTTGTTTACGCCAAAAAAATTAGAACAAGAAGAGCCAGCCCTTCATGTAAGTTTCATGTAAATGCGTGGTGAAAATCGTGAAATTCATCTCAGGGATGCGAGCCAGCTCGGGTGCCCGGGCTGGCTCGCTTCCATATAAACAACCCCTTAGAGTCATTTATTATTTTAAACTTTGTTGTATTGTATTCTAGTGTATTCAAATTGTATTTTATGTCGTCAACAAGTTCTCTAAATCAGGATACGTTGAACAATGTTAGAAAAAAAGTCGACGGGAGCGGGATATTGCCATATTGGCCCCTCGAGTGTGAGGGAGCTTCTAGCGGTTAGTGTTGCATTTTTTGCAACCGTTGCTGGTTGGATCTTAAATAAACTGTCCAAATGAATCAAAAACCTATTTCCAAGCTCATGATAATACGTTCTAGCCACAAAAACTATGACTGTAAACAAGTTTGGTCGCTCTTACACAATATCGTGAATTTCGGGAAATACTAAACGTACATCAAAACAATGACAGTTGCGCCAAATATAACTGATGTCTTTGCACTGTGCACGTCACATGAGCGGTGAATACATTTCCGTTTCCAATGACAAACTCACTGTTTCAAACGCAAAACAACACGCGCGAAAATGTTTGCGCTTTGTCGGCTTGCATGCAAATACTGCTCATGTAATTCTCAACTGCAAAGTGCGCTCGACGTTTCTGTGTTGGTTTGATTGTGAACAAAACCTGTTTATCGGCAATCTCGTGCCCAGAGCATGCGCGTTGGCAAGTTTCTAACCTATATCTATGTTTCTAACCTGCGAACGCCCGTTCGCAGGTTAGAGAAACCCTAACCTGCGAACGGGCATGCTCTGGGTACGAGATTGCCTACATTGGTTCATTGACAAAATTTACGAAGCGTTTCGGATTAAAATATTTCGAAAATTAATTGTCTTGACAGCGTCACCTGCTAAGCGATGTGATTTAGTCGACGTGAAAATTGTTCACGGCGAAATTTTTTCACGTTTGCAAATAGAGTGAGGATAATATATCGCTCTGATATCGCTCAATATGGTTCATTTATGTATTGTAAAAGTCGGACAAATTTACACTGAATATTCAGTTTAGATAAATTTATTAAAATAACTTGAATTTTGGTGTCCAAAATGATAAATAATATCCGATTCCATCGTTCGGGTGACTGTGTGCCTTTACAGTAAAAGTAGTGGTTGAAGGATCTTGTGGTCGTTGTGGATGGAAATTATTGGGTGGAAATTTATATACATTTATTAGACCTAGCTAACCAGGAACAGTTGTGAAAAATGCAACTACAGGTGTCACAGGTCCCTGACTAGACTTGCTCCAAATCACAGAATAAAGACATACAGAAGTGTATCTTCTTATTAAAAGTGCGTAACATTGAACTATAAATAAACTGGAAGGCTAACTGCTATGATAAAGGCCTATGATTTGATGAAGCCAAAATAGTTTTTCTGAGTTATGAGCAGAAATACTTGACCCCAAACGTCGGGTTATATATCAAATTGAAGCTATTGAAAATTGCTATTTTCGGTGGGGAAAATTCAAGACTTCAGCCAAAAGAAAAATATTTAAAAAATACAAAAACAACTGCAAAACGGCAAATTATCGGTAATTATGTTTGTAGTTTTTCAATATTTCCCTTTTAGCTAAAGTCTTGAAATTTCTACACCAAATAGCGTTTGTCAATAGCTTCAATTTGATATATAGCCCAACGTTCAGTGTTGAGTATTTCTGCTCATAACTCAGAAAAACTAAAATGCACTGGCTTCAATCCCTCCCCTGAGTTAGCCTTCCAGTTTAGTATAGTTCAATGGTGCGTAAGGGATTTTTTCAGTCCGCCATGTTCTTAGCAAGTGCCCTGTAGAGAGGCAGTCACTCCCCTGAAAACATATTGAAAATTTAATATTCCAGGGGGATGAATGCCTCTCTTTAGGGCACTTGCTAAGAACATGGCCGCCAGCTATTTCGGTAAAAAAGCGCCTTACGGTTTTGTAATGGAAGTTGCACTTCTGTATGTCTTTATTCTGTGTCCAAGTCTCTCTGTCATTGTCATATAGTATCGATCCACTGTAGTGTACATTACATGACGTAGCACGGAGAGGCGGGGCGAGAAAGAGAGACTTGTCAATTTCGGAAAATCTCGGTTCAAAACTGAACCGAAAATGCAACACTTGCTTTAACTGTTTTCCTTCACTTTCTTTCTGTATTATTTACTATAATGGAACTCATGTTATTTACACTGTGCTAGATCAATACATATAAACACTGACAGAAAACAATTAAAGCAAGTCTTGCATTTTCGGTTCAGTTTTGAAACGAGATTTTCCGAAGTTGACAAGTCTCTCTTTCTCGCTCCGCCCCTCCGTACTACGTCATGTAATGTACACTATAGTGGATCGATACTATATGACAATGAAAGAGAGACTTGGAGCAAGTCTAGTCCTACCCTGGATTCCAGAGCCTTCGACAGAAAATAATAAATTGAAACGTCGCGAAGGCTCTGGTTCAACGGGGAGATTCTTTGATTAACACTAATTCTGTTTTGTGATTGGCGCGGTTTAATCACTAAAACCACTAATTCTGTTTTGTGATTGGCGCGGTTTAATCAAAGAATCTCCCCGTTGAACCAGAGCCTTCGCGACGTTTCAATTTATTATTTACTGTCGAAGGCCCTGGAATCCAGGGTAGTCTAGTCCCTGACAGGAATTGAACCAGGAATTGATTTCGGTGCAGCGCGCTTCATTAAAGAGTACTATCTTTCAACTATTCAGTGCACCTTGACTGCTGGACTAGGTCATCTACCCCTTGTATAAATTGTCCAATAATATAAACCAATTTGTTATTTTCAAGTGGCCTGTTTACGTTACGGTTGTGCGCACTGACATGTCGTTAATCGATCACCTGATATATTGATTATTCAACGTATTCACCAGAAAATTCCGAGTATGCATTTGTATAACTCAGTAACTCTACTATGTTGTAACTACAGTAAAAGCAAACAATATTTTTCCCCGTACAACAACATCAAAGCCATATCATTGGCTAATATCAACAATCTTTATTAATGAAGCTATTATTGAACCAATATATCCAACAGAGCGATTAACCATTGTTCTTGAAATTCAATTGCGGTTATTTTAAGTGGCTTGAGAATATTCTCGATGACATACTTTGCATTTTATAGTTGTGTACATATAGCACCCAACAGTCAGAACTGCTTCATCATTTGCAAAGGGAGAGCCACTACGTATACATCTAATCTTGTTCAGACCGCTCAGATTTTAAAGCAATATGTCGGTAAGTTTATACGATTTACACAAGTTTAGTTCATTTGATATATTTCAAGCCTTTCAAGTTTCTTTAGTTACTTATAGACAAGTTATAGTAATAAACCTAGGTGCTCAAGCGAGTTTGCTTTTCAAAACTTTTCATTTCTAGCTATACAGGTTGCTTTCGCGGTTTTCTGCAATGTTCTTGACTTCATAAGTTAACCTTTGGTAGTGTAAATGCGTGCAGATTGTATCTCAGAAAATGCTGCTTTACACTAAATATTATATATAGTTAAATTAGTGCTCGTTTAGCTATATCAAATTATGGAAATTTCACAAGCAAAATAATTTTCAAGGCGTTGTCTTTGACTTCGATCATTTGAGCATATTCGTGTTACTTGGGAAACGTTTAACTATATATCCAACCGATATAGTGCTCTACCCTAAAGCCAACGCCACCCATTACTCAAAAAAAATAAGGTTGTCTCCCGTACTGAATTTCTGAAATTTGAAAGAAGTTTCTTTTAAAGTTTTGAGCAGGAAACGCCTCATTTCCTCTATACACGTTGGAATTTTTGCACTCGTGTTGACTTGTTTGAATCTAGAAATGTTATGAATCAGTTTAAATTAGCCTTTATAAAGGGAAGGGTTTTTTGTACGAGAATCGCTTGGCACTGCACGGCTTTATTGTCATGAACAGTATAACTACCTACGGTGAGCGCGAACTAAGCCTTTTGAAGATTACAATCGTGGGAGTTTAACTGTTTAACTCAGTTGTTTAAGTCGAAAGTTACGTGTTTTCTAGAGTATTTCTCGCGCTAAGAATCAAGCCTTTTACCCAGGACAGTGTTAACACACGAACTCGACCTTCCTAGACGTACATAATCAAAGGGATTTTTAAAAGAACGTTGGCAATTCTATACAGCGTTAATATAACTTATGGGGGTCATATACTTGTATTCTAGCATTGCATGCATGAATGACCCTATCTGGGTGTTGTCGAATATAAATTATGTTAGCAACTTGTAAGTACAAAAGAACCCCTCGAACTCGGTTAACTCGGAACTTCCCGCCAAGTCAAACCAAATTCAATTTCCCCTGGTTTACATACACGACATACATACATACATACTTTATTGTGTTCCTCAACGAGGCTTTTCGACACTAATTTACATGGAGTGATGATAGTTATTATAAAATCGAAATTAAAACTGTCTATTACATATAGTTAAGAATTTGCTAGTATAAAGTTTTCTATTATTTAACGTAGTCCATTACTAAATACTAAGTATAGTAAAGTCAGTAAAGTCTGGCTAACGTGTCTTTCTTTAATATCTGTTTTTAAAACTTTGCAAAGAGGGCATTAACTTTGTGTTATGTTGTCCAGATCGTTCCATAGTTTCGCCCCTCTGTAAAGCCCTGATTCCACGAGCGCTTTTTGTCAGCGAAATGCGAAATATTTCGCCTGTTTCTTTTGAATTGCGACCACTCGAATAAATTATTTCAGTCTACTTGATTGCTCACAACTCGAAAGAAACAGGCGAAATATTTCTCATTTCGCTGACAAAAAGCGCTCGTGGAATCAGGGCTTTATGGAATGTTCTCTGACCGATGGCGGTGTCCCAGCAGATTTGGACCCCCCTCAAAATGGACCCCCCGGTCCAAATCCGCTAGCGAATATGGACCGGGGAATCCATATCCGGACCTATGGGGGTCTTTTTCCGCTAGCGGATTTCGACTCCCCTCGCGAATTTGGACCCCTCGCGTATTTCGTCATTGCAACGTATCGTATTTTGAATATTGAATCGTCATAAATCTCATCTGATTTATTGTAAAAACCGTACGAAGATTTTTAGATCATCAAATCTCAGATTTAGATTAGAGAATTTCGTCAAAGTTTATGATTTATAATTTTTCTGCCACATGAGTTTATTTCTATGATCTTGGAATGTGCGAGAACTGAGAAGAGCATGAAGCCTTCACAAGTATTTTACTCCTTGGAATTGCTATCTGCTCTAATTCCAAAATAGTTGAGTCATGCCATTACTTAGTTATCATAATTTAAATTAAACTGACGCCTAAATTTCCATGCCAATTCAATTGCAATTTAGTCTGCAAATCGTTTCAAAACTACTTCTTTTTGTGAATTTTAGGGGGTCCAATTCCGCGGAAGGGGGTACATATCAACTAGCGGATATGTACAGTAGGGGTCCGAATCCGCTAGCTGATATGGACCGGGGGGTCCATATCCGCGAGGAGTCCAAATCCACTGTGACAGCGGTATTCCGGGCCGTACGCAGGAGCTCTCGATTACCAGTTCAACATTCATGTAAATTTGAACGTTTTCTAAATTTATTGCACAAGTAAGGTGGAGCTAAGTTGTGAATACTCTTTGTAAATCATGACTGTATCTCTAAAAAGCAAGTGTTCCTTCACCGGAAGCCAATTCAGTTCAGTCGCAGTTTTGGTGAGATCTGGTCTAAACTGTAAAATATTTAGATTAAAACTCTCAAAGGACTCCTTTCTCCAAGGTTCAAGGCTCAACTCATGCGTGGTTCAGACTCATTAAAATATAAATAACACAAACTTTATTACAAAAACGCTGCCATATGAAAACTCTACGCTCGTCTCATTAGTATTCCATGTGTTCACAAAATAAACGTCATAGAATATTACGCAATCTCTGACACTCCCCCCGTTGACCAGTGCATGCAACTACTGGTCAACAAACAGTGAAACAACTAAACTACAATTACGTAGTCTACAAATTTGAATTATCAACGTTGTCAATGCAAGTAGTCTTTCTACTATCGCAATATCTCTACACTAGCTACTTAGCTGTCATTCAGTTCCTCGATCCATTTCCTTCGCCGTTCTTCTCCCCGCTTCGCCGCTTCACGTCTTGGTCTCTTTACTTCGACTTGGTTCATTTCATTTCCGATCGCTTCGTCAAGTTCGTTCTTTCCGTACCGATTTTCTTCAGCTTCCGAGTCGGACCTTACCTCTAGTGGGTAAAGTAACCGTACCGATCTTTTCAAAGTCGTCGGCCGTTTCCCCTTTGGACTGATTCTAACGATCGCTCCCCGCACGTTTCCGTCCTCTCCGTTGATCAACCTTTCGACTTTGCCCAATCTCCAACATGCTCGAGGTTGCGACTCGTCGTGAACCACAACTATATCCCCCGCACGGATAGTTCCCTTTCCGTTGTCGTTCTTACCGCGGTGTGAATTGCGCAGTTCCATTAAATATTCGTCACGCCAACGGGTCCAGAAATGATTCATTAGTGTGCTCAAGTGCTTCTTTCTTCGACTTAAGTCCTTATCGTTTAACGAGAATTCGGGATCTAATATGTCATTGCCAATGTCCTGCTCTGGCATACTCAGTAATCTTCGTCCCGTTAACAAATGTGACGGAGTGAGTGGTTCTTGTAGATCTTCGGTAGAAACATATGATATTGGACGGGAATTCAATATCATCTCCACTTCAGCGACCACCGTCAGGAGCTCTTCGTAAGTTAATTGAGCTCCTCCAACAGTCTTCTTTAAACACCTCTTGGTGGATTTGACAAGTCTTTCAAAAATTCCACCCCACCAGGGTGCCTTGGGTAAATTGAACGACCAGGTGATGTTCATGCCGACGAAGAATCGCCTTATCTCTGGATCTCTCAACATCGTTTTGATCTCCCGCGATGCCGCCTTAAACATCCCGGCGTTGTCCGACACAATCGTTGACGGAACACCGCGTCTCGCGGTAAATCTCCGAAAACTTCGAATAAATCCTTCTTTTGTCAGGGTTGGTACAATGTCCAAATGCACTGCTCTCGTTACACAACATGTGTAAAGGCATACCCACACCCTTTCGCTCTTCTCGTGTGTTCGAACATAGAGCGGACCAAGGAAATCAATTCCTGTTGCCGTGAAAGGTGGTGTTTCTCGTACTCGAAATTCGGGTAGGGGAGGTGGTGGTGGAGCTTGATAGGGTTTGCCTTCGAATCTCCGACAAATAGAACACCTCCCGATCAACTTTCGCACAAACTGTCTCCCCCGGACGATCCAGTACTGCGATCTTATATCAGTCAACGTCTCTTTGACTCCATTATGCATCACTCTTCTGTGGCTGTCGTAAACGATCAATGATGCGAAATAATGCTCTTTGTCAACTAGAATTGGATGCTTTGCTGACTGGGGTAGGTTCGCCTTTTCCAGTCTACCTTTGCACCTCCAGATGTCTTGCTCGTCAGTGTAAAGCCCAAACTCTGCCTTCCACTGTTCAAACTGGTTCTTCTCGGGCAATTTTCTTTGCATTTCTTTGATCCACAATTCTCTACTTTCACGAATCTCATTCACTGTTAAACTGGGCTCTACGTCTATGTCACTCTTTCTGGTCTTCGCCTTCAATATCTTCACCAAACGTAAGACATAAGCCGTCACTCGCACCAGTCTGTCGAGGGTTCCAAAGTTCTCGATATTGATGATATTGCTAAGGGTTTGGGGTGTGGTGTTCACAATTAGGTTAACAGTTCTCGACTTGGTGGATCGAACTTCAACGAGACATTCCTTCGGAGGCGTAATTTCCTTCTCATCTTGCCAAGAGTGTGTTTCAACCTCGGTTAGCCACTCAGGGCCACAGCTCCACAGCTCATTGCTTGTAAGCTCCGTCGGTTTTATTCCTCTGGATGGAATATCGGCAGGATTATCTCGACCGGGACAATGACGCCAGGTGGCTGTGGGTAAGAGGCTCCGGATTTCACTCACTCTATTTTCAACGAATTGTTTCCACTCCTTATTGCCATTTGTGATCCAGAAAAGTGCCACTTTCGAATCGCTCCAACAGACTGGATCATCCAACTTAATTTCATCTCGTAATGCCGTTTGAACATTCTTCACTAACCTTGCAAGGATCAAACATGATAGAAGTTCTAGTCCCGGAATTGTTTGTCTCTCGATTGGTGCGACTCGTGTCTTCGCTGCTAAGAACTTTACTCTGATGCCAATTGTGGTAATCATGACCAGGTAGGTTACTGCGGCGTACGCCGCCTTCGAGGCATCACCAAATCCATGGACAATGCAGGAGATAACTGGGTCGTTGACCTCTCGAAAATAGCATCGAGAAAGCCGAATGCGATTCATTTGTTTTAGTTCATTAACTAGATTGTCCCATTTTACTTTAAGATCATGGGGTACTTCATCGTCCCAATTCAACTTTTCTCCGCACAGTTCTTGGAATAACATCTTGAATTGAACTGTTATTGTCGACATGAAGCCAATCGGATCATAGAACTTTGCAGAAAGACGGACGATATTTCGCTTTGTTGGGGAACACTCGGATGCCAATTCGGTCACATGACTAAGATCAAACACAAGATCATCTTCAACAAAATTCCACGCTACCCCGAGAACCTTGTGCTCTTAATTAGAGGATTCATTGGATGTTCCTAGCGTAATCTTCGAGTACGTTTCATCTTCATTTACGCAATCGTTTGGCGGTTCGTCCACTTGAGGGTTAGGCTCCAAATTAGTTCTAGGAAGAGGGTTCTCTTCACTTTTGATCTTCGTCAACAGTTCGGGCGAGTTGGTAACAAACTTCCGAAGGTTAAATCCACCTTCTGCCAATCTAAGCTTTGATTTCTTGTAAAGAGTGTAGGCAGATTTGTCATCATCCCCACCCGAGTTTAGATCATCTACATAAACAGCTCGCATGAAGGCTTCGACAAAGGCAGGATCT